CTGTAAACACAGATATTAACAAGTTGAGGTCTGGAATTCATTCTGCTTGAAAAACTGCAGAAACAAACATGAACAGACTGAAGTATGGAATTATATCTGTTGAAATAATTGGTTTGCCATTTTGCAAAGAGAAAGTCCATAAATTAAGTTCTTTTTTCATTCATTCATTCATTCATTCATTCATTCTTTCATTTATTCACATTCCATAAAATCCTTACAAGGTTGAGATAACCAATAGAGATAGAAATGGTCCAGAAATATAAACTCATCTTGCTTAGAAATCAAGCAGTTGACAAAATAACAAGTTTATAGTATACAACATTTAAGTCACATCTAAAAATTTATCTTGAAAATAATAAGTAAGACAATGACAATTTTAAGATAAAAAATTCAGTCCAAATATAATAATAATCATGCTTATACAATATGACAGTTATTTAAAAACCAGTTTATAATATAAGGCAAGTTTGAAAGTTGAATATAATTAGTTGTATTACAGTAACCAATTTACAATATAAGATGAAGGTAATAAAGAATACAAATAATAATATTTACAACTTTAAAACAGTATAATCAAATAAGATCTGTTATAACAGATAATTAAAGTTATTTACAAAAAACAGGATGTGTCCAGTCCAATGGCTAATCAAGCCTGACAAGTTTCAGATCAAAATGAAATGAACCAACCAGAGGTAGGTCCTATTATGTGTAAAAGTAACATTAATCAAAACTGGATACATATGCAACACATAAGGACAGATATGTGACATACTTACATGTTATGAGAACCAGAGAGCTACGGAAGATTATATCTGTGAGGGAGCTGTACTTAAAGGGGCCCCATCTCTTCAGAACGTGGGGCCAGAGGATCTCTATGGGAACATACATCTGCAGAGCATAGGAGAACAGGATTCCAAGGCAGATGGTGAGCTGTACTGCCTGGGCCAGGCTGGAAGCAAAATGGTCTCTAACAGATCCTTCAAAACTTTCTCTACCCACCCTTTCCAGTTCCTTGTTCACTTATCATCTTAACCTGTGACCCCAAAGATTATGACTCACTGACAGCGTCATTAAACGAGTCAAAAATATTAAAATATGAACCTAAATTTTCCTCTGCGATTAATTAAGCACCACAACATAAAGACATATGGGGGAGTGGAGGTGTAGCTCCAAGCATTTATCTTCTTCAGATAAGGTGAGCAGTCAGCTTTTTGGCACCAGCCCCTTTACCCTCACAGAAAGTGCCCCTGGTACTGACTGGAGAGGAGGCTGGATGGGCCCCAGAATTGATCTGGACAGTGTGAGGAAGATAGAATTTCTTGTCCCTGCTGGGAAGTGAAACCCAATTCCTCAGTTATACAGACTGTAGCCTAACCACTACAGTGACTGAGCTGCAACAAAAAATAAACATACAAACTCACATGTCTTGTTGAGGCAGGTTGAGTGTGAGGCTTCCTTGTACATTGTCACCATACTTGAGGTAGCCAAGGAACCCCATGATAACAAGCAGACACGTCACGATGGTCATGCCGATGTTGAGAACGCCAAACCTTCTTGTGAACTGCTCAGGTTGCTTCATTTCATTCTGCAGGGGAAGCACCTGTGTTCAAATCCAGACACAATCACAAAAATTAGAATTATGTTCACAAAAATGGCTCTTCTATCATAAATACTCTAGGGTGATCAGTCAAAATAGTCTGAATGGTTTGAACTTAAGTCTATAAGCAAATTTTGTGGCTGTCCTTGGAAAATGGCAATGGTATGTTGTTATGTATTCGTATATATTGATGATTCAGAGGAATGTGATGCCTTCATATTTAGGGTAAGAAGAATAAGAACCTCAAGCTTTATATATTTTATATAGTTATACCAATGCAAACACAAAACCATTGAAAAGTCAATGAGAGAATGTTAAAAAACGAACTTTGTCAAGGATTCCTAACCTCATTAACTTATAAAGTTGTGGAAACTTAGCTGTAAAACAATAGGTAAAACCAAATATTTTTGTATAGCTGATGGGAACTGATGTGAAATGTAAATATTCTCCTCAGTATCTGTGTTCTTCCTTTAATGTAAG